TTCCCTTATATTATTAGTGGAACAAAATCAATTAAACTTTTCTAATAGGCACATTTTATAATCAAACCTGGTAGAGTATATTATCTTTTAGGGTAATTAGAAACATTTCTGTTTGACCAAAATAATAGCAGTCAACCAGAATTATTATCGATTTGATTTGAATGGTATAGGACACAAGCTTATAAATATTGTAGTGCACTGAAACGCAGATCACTTTTCTTTTTAAAAGAGTCCTTTTGCCTTTCATCTTTATGATGAACCTACAAGAGACATTTTGGTTTTGCTAATTAGAAGTTTAAATCTAATATTTTAGAATATTTTAGAATAACTTCAATGTTAGTTTCACTGTTAAAGTGGCAAAAACCTAGACTCTACCATGAGTCTTTCATTTTCTGGATGTAAGTTTTTAATGAATATAATCTAATTATGTGTCTTCCATTTTAAGGAAGCCAGTTTTATTCTGAACTTCTAAGGTACTCTGTTAACCTGTTTTTGGAGCACAGCCCTATTCGATTAAGTTTTTAGTGCTTGTATTTGGCACAGTGTAATTTTGGGGAGCATTAAAAAACTGGCAGTTCAACCTTCTGGATGCAAAGAAAACAAAGACAAAACTCTTTTAACATTTCTTTTAATGACTATATATATTCTGATTTAAATCCATATGTTTTATTTTTCTGGTTGCTTTGTTTTCTAATGATCAATGAGCGCTTTTTAAAAACAATTTTTTTGCTGTCTTCCCTTCCCCTCCTACTGTGATGGAAGGCCTTTGATTAGGACAGTATTGTACTGTTCTCTGCTTCTCTCCCTAAGGACAAAATGAGAGTGCTATCTCAGCACATGGTGCTGAATGGATGCTGGATAGAATGAACTAATAGGGACTGCTGCTTAATTTTGGGTATAGATTATTAGAACCTTAAGGGACCCTAGATATCATCTCGCTTGTCTACTCCTTCCCTTGGTGAAGTTCATAGGGACTAGAGCAGTGGGGCTTTAGAATGAGAGTGTTCCAGGGATAGGGCTGGGATTTTAGTGACCTTGTTCTGCACAATACGGATGATAATAGCTTATATTTATTCATTGTTTTAGATTATTTGTACATTGGATTTTGAAGAAGTCAAGAACTTCTAGTATGTGTTGATGAATACATTGTGTGTCATCTTGATGTATAAACTAATACGTAGTACTTCAGATGTCTCCCTCCTAACTGGGCCCGTAGTACTCAGGGTTTTGTATTTACAATGTTCAGTGAAACATGAATTGGTTGAATAGTTTCCCCCAACTTTGTATAGAAACATATCTTTAAAAATAATTTAAAGGATATTTTCCTTTTAATTTTTTCCCTTGAGAGTATAGATTTGAGTTCAAATCTGGATTCTGCCCCTTACTCTAATTAAACTAACCTTAGCCTTGATGTCTTCATCTATAAAATGATGATCATAATCATTAACTATTCATCAAGAGTTATTGTCAGGGTTAACGTTAACATGACATTGAATATAAAGTGCTCATCACAATGCCTGTCCAAGGGTAGAGTACTCGGTAAATGCTGTTAATGTGATCTTACAGAAACTAAGACTTAAAATACTAAAATATTTGTCTGGAGCTATTGTGGTGATTTAAAACTCTTTAAGGGAGAATTCTGGTTTGTTTGTTTGTTTTAACAGTCAGGGTCTTGCTATGTTGCCCAAGCTGGCCTCCAACTCCTGGGCTCAAGAGATCCTCCTGCCTCAACCTCCTGAGTAGCTGGGACTATAGCATGTGCCACTGTGCCCAGCATTGAGAGAGAACTCTTAGAAGAGAAATGTGCTCTATAAGTTATAAAACTTCACAATACAGTAAACACATTGAACCTTTGCAAAAACCTTTGCTCAAAGAACCTCAGTTTGTTTTGTCATTGACCTGCAAATTTCAAGAATTTTTAAGATTCTCTTTACTGCATGAAATGCTTGAATGTGTTACTATACTTTTTGTAGGTGAGTTTATATTTATTTTTTGGAACTAAGGAAGATATTTGGCCTTATAAGAAAGCTAAGGTGATATAAGTGCTAGTTGGGAAATAATGCAATATGAATGGCTTGCTTGATGTCAAACCTAGTAAGCAGTCAAATCTTGTCACTCTTCACTTAAAATACAATTATTTACTTCTATATTAGCTGAGAAGCAAGAATTTAGAATTCTGAGGAATTTTTTTTTTTGGGGGGGAATGGAAGTCTTAAGATATTTCAGCTGGATATTGCTTGTTGTCTTTTGTTAGAGCTTTGGCCTTGAAATATTATATTTTACTTGTATGAAATATATTTGTCATCTTCATTATTTTATTAGATTGATAACAAAGCTGTGTGTATACTCCTTAATTGACCCAAATGTAAATTTGGCTGAGGTCGTGATTTGAGTGGCACATGGAGTTGAATAGAGAATCCTTGTCATCATTTTAATATGTAAAAATTAGGTGTTTTTATACCCCTGGAAGTTAAAAAATCAAATCAGGCACCATCTGTGGTTCCTGAATACTTGGTCTCTCACCTTCCATAATTAAAAAACTATGCTGGCTGCTTGGCTGAACAGGGGTGTTATTAAACTGGCATTTGGTCTGAAATGTTCCTTAGGGAATCACTGAGTGATTTTAAGTGTTCTTTCTTGGGCCTGGGACACTACATCCTGTAGAATGAGTTAAGGAGTGACTGTTTAGCAAACATATATTGAGTATATATTATATACCAACAAATCAACTTGTTGGAGTAGGTTGTTAACTTGAGTTATGTTGGGCAGTCTTGGCAATGAGAGGGATTTTAGTTAGATCTGGTAACTAACCATGCAGTCCCAGAGACAAGTATGACTTACTCTCTTATTCTATTTTTTTCACTAATAATAGAGCCAAGCCCGATGGTTCTTGGAGTGAGATTTAATTTGGTTGTTGAACTTGAGTCTTGCCGTGTGTCCTTTTTAGCATTGATTGGTGTGTTCAGCATGATTTAATATTCTTTTCAAGATTTGTACTTACCTCTCATGGGGTTACTATGCCAGTTCTTTTTGTAAAGCAGGATGAAATTTCTTTATAATTTCTGAATGCTAGGTGATATTGTGGCCTAGAAAAGAAATTGCTAAACTTTTTTTTGAGACTCCAAGTGCTTTGATGCTTTGCAATTACCTGCTGGATTTTTTCTGAGATACCTGGGCTCAGTTCAGCAAATGGTATTGAGTACATATTATGTGCAAGCTCGGATAGAGTCCAGTAGGGGCCTGCTTGCTTGTAGACAAAAAATGATGGCATAATGTAACCAACATATGCAATGCAAGAGGCATGAACAAGGCATAGATACTTTATAGATTATTCAGGGTGAGGCAAGGGAGTGGGTTTCATGGAGGAGATGAAACTTAGGATGGTTCAGATGGATAGAGATGGGCTTTTTAAAAATTAGATTTTTATTGTTGGAGGCTATTCCAGGCAGAGGGAATGTTACTGAGGTGTGAAATGGCACGTAGCAGATAGCTTGGCATTACTGGAATATACACTGCAGTACTGGAGGGAGATAAAGGTAGAAAGGGATAAGGGAACTATATCTCCAAGAATCTGGCATGCTGTACTTTGGAGCATGGAATTTTTTTGGTATATATTAATCAGCTTAAAGTAATTGAAAAGACCTAAGCCAAGAGAGTGAAAGGATAGAGTTTAGTTAGCTCTCTCTGATTGTAACCTGGAGTTTGGATTGCAGAGGAGTAAAATTGGAACTAAATACTAACTAGTCATGAAGGTTAAAGGAGTCCAGGAGTCAGTTTTCTTTCTTTTTTTTTTTGAGACACAGTCTCGCTTTGTTGCCCAGGCTGGAGTGCTGTGGCGCGACCTCAGTTCACTGCAACCTCTTCCTCCTGGGTTCAAGCAATTCTCCTGCCTCAGCCTCCTGAGTAGCTGGGACCACAGGCGTGCGCCACCATGCTGGACTAATTTTTATATTTTTAGTAGAGGTGAGGTTTCACTCTGTTGGCCAGACTGGTCTCGAACTCCTGACCTCAGGTGATCTGCCTGCCTTGGCATCACAAAGTGCTGGGATTATAGGTGTGAGCCACCACACCTGGCCCAGGAGTGAGTTTTAATTTAGTAAACTTCTTTAGCTGAACTGTGGTGATGAGATAATGAACAAAAAAGCACGACAATGGTAGAACTCTGGGGAACATGCCAATAGTTGAAAGGTATTTTGAGGAAGCAGACACTGGGAAGAAATAGAAAAAGAAGTTTGTTAAAAATAAGGTATTATAGGAACTGAGAAAAGAAGGAATTTCCTGAAGGAGGAGGTGTCAGTAATGTCCAAGAGCAGAAGTCACGTAAGATACTGACTGACTTTGGGAATTTGGAGGTCAGTTACTTGCAGTAGTTTGGGATAGGGGAACATTTCCATTGGAATGGTAATTTGCATTCTGCCTTTGCCACTTATTTATTCTTTGACTTCAGAAAGCCCTTTTACCTTTGACTCATTGTCTGTAAAGAGGAGGTTGGCCTCTTTAATGGGGTTCGGTGTACGATCTGTGGAGCTCCAGAGGTTCATAAAAGGTACCTTGAGACCCATCAAGAAATCAAGGGTAAAGCCAGACATTTGTTGGGGAGGGAGGGATAAAAGTCCTCTACCCCTGCTTCAAACAAAGCAGTGAGAGCAGCTTGATCTTTATCTTTTCATATATTTGGCATTAATGTAAGATTTCATTGAAAGAAACACAGTGCAGTATAAAAAATCTGACAACTACTGGCATACAGGAGCATTAAGTACCTTCAAGCTTTAAAAGCTATATTACTATAGAGGTGTTGAAAGGTCCTATACTAGATTAAGATTATGATAGATGCTAACCTGTTCATGGTTTGGATTTTAATCAGAGGTGAACATTAATGACCAAATTTATATAATGATAACTGTTCATATTCTCATTAGGAATGAAAATGTAACTTCTAAACAACTGTATTCTACTGTGTACTTTGTTAAAAAAAAAAATCTTTTTATATGTCTTACCAGGTTCTGACTCAGAAGATCTTTTGGAAGAATTGCTGTGCTGTTTGATGCAGTTAATCACTGATATTCCACTCTTGTAAGTTCCGGCTAGGCCAGGATTTGTTTTATCTTCTTTGTATGTGGCAGATCATCATTGATCATGTTGCGGAGTTTGTGGGTCCTGGTGTAATACTTATATGTGTGCCTTTTAAGGATTCTATATCCAGAGTTCTTTTCTTTCTGCCTAATATTTAGACTGGCTATTCATCGTCAAAACAAAAATGTTACGTTGTTAAGGGGGAAATAGTGAAACTATCTTAAGAATATGGTAGGCACGGAATTAATCTCTGTATTAAGAGAGCTTATAGATCTTTGGAAACAACATTTTAAGAGAGAAGCAATTTGAATCTACTTCATATTATGGTAGACACAGTGAGTTGAGTTCTCCTTATCTTCCTGACTTCTTGATTGTGTTTCCAGCCTCTTTTGGTGAAGCCAGATTTTCATTTCCAGCCTTCTTTGACGCTAGGCATAGTCAGTGAGATGTAGAGGAAGGTCCTCCAATGAGACCTCTGAGTAAAGCTCTCTAAAAGGAACTGCTTGAGTCAGCTAGGAGGCATATCTTTTTTCTCTTGACAGCCCTTTCTCCTGCTGTCTGGAATGTGGACAGTCTTTTGAGTTGCACAGCCTTCTTGGCACCATGAACCAAGAGACTCACAGAAAATTCTGTTTTGATGTCATTGGGCTGCTAAACCAAAGTCAACAACTACCAGCACCACCTTTTTTCATCCTGGACTTCTCATGTGACAGAAGTAGACCCTTATTAGTTAACACTGCTGTAACTGGGCTTCTGTCACTGCAGCTCAACGCAATTCCTATATGATTCAAAATGTTCATCTCGTTTGTTACTTTTTAAAATTTAAAATAGAGACAGGGCCTCACTGTGTTGGCCAGGATAGTGTCGAACTCCCAGCCTCAAGTGATCCTCTGACCTCAGCCTCCCAAAGTGCCTGGATTACAGGTATTAGCCACTGTGCCTGGCCTCATTTGTTACTTTTAAAGCAGTGATTCTCAACCTTTAAAAAAAATTATTGGCCAGGTGCAGTGTATCACGCCTATAATCCCAGCACTTTGGGAGCCTGAGGCAAGTGTATTGCTTAGATGCAGGAGTTGGAGACCAGCCTGGGCAATATAGTGAGACCCTGTCTTTACTTTAAAAAAAACAAAATTAGACTGGGCGCAGTGACTCACACCTGTAATCCCAGCACTTTGAGAGGCCGAGGTGGGCGGATCATGAGGTCAGGACTTCAAGACCAGCCTGGCCAACATGGTGAAACCCTGTCTCTACTAAAAATACAAAAATTAGCTGGGCATGGTGGTGCATGCCTGCAATCCCAGCTACTAGGGAGGCTGATGCAGGAGAATCGCTTGAACCAAGGTCGGGGAGGTGGAGGTTGCGGTGAGTTGAGATTGCGCCACTGCATTCCTGCATGGGCTACAGAGCGAGACTATGTCACAAAAAAATAAAATAAAATAAAAAATAAAAATAAAAATTTAAAAAATATTTTCTACCTAAGAAGCCTTGTTTGACATTTCTTTCATAATTGCCTCTCCCACTTAATGAAATTTGAGTCCCCAGACACACTGAATATCTGTTTATGTCCTACAGCCCTTTAGAGGACCACAAACCATTATTATTGTATCTATGAAGATTTTTACTTACCTCTGTAGAAAGAGTTTACATCTCCTGTTGAAAATGCATATATAAAAGGAATTATTTTTGAAATAAAAAAGTAGATTTTACTGTTTCTCATGACAGAATCTCAGTCTACATGGGGATATAATTGGAAATGTGCTATTTATCTATGGCGCCAAAAGGAAAGACAGATATTTGTGAAAAAATAGGCTGCAAGCTGCTGTTGTACATGAATGCAACATCTAGAATTTTAATATAGTCTTCGAAGTGAGAACCACCAACCCCCGTCATGATATGGTCTCATGGTATGCACCCGGGAAATTAGGCTGAGACAACTGAAGAGTCATCGCCTAGGGAAGGAAATGGGACAATTTCCCATTCAGCCGGAGCTCCTGCAGCAGACACATGCATGCCATCCTTTCTCCCATTCCATTCTAACAGAACTCCAGTATTGTTTAGAGTGGTGCTGTGTGCCCAGATTTGTTTTGCAGACACTTTGGTGGTTCCATGTGACCATGTGACATAGTTTGGGTCAAGTATATGTGAGCAGAAATCATGAACTTGCGGAGCATATCCACTCCAGCCTTTTGCTTGTTGCTCTCCCTTCCTTCCTGGAATGTGGAGGCAATGCTTAGTCTGTCTTGAAACTATGTTAATGAGCATTGCATGCAAAGAACAGTGTCCTGGGAGCATGGGATATTGGTGACATTATGAAACTATTACATGGGCCCTGGATCCCATATCTTTGGGTTTCCTCTTACATGAGAAAAATAGATACCTATCTTGCTTAGGCCACTGTGGTTAGGTTTCTTTTACATGTGGTCAGATCAGGGAAGGGAAACACATATACTGTGTGCTGTTTCTTTGTCATGGTGTGTGGAGTGCTTCATGTGTTCCTGATGTAATTTTACAAGTAGCACCACCTCTAATTTTTCTTTTTTTTTTTTTTTGAGATGGAGTCTTACTCTGTTGCCCAGGCTAGAGTGCAGTGGCGCGATCTCAGCTCACTGCAACCTCTGCCTCCTGGGTTGAAGCAATTGTTCTGCCTCAGCCTCCCAAGTAGCTGGGATTACAGGCAAGCACCACCACACCCAGCTAATTTTTGTATTTTTAGTAGAGATGGGGTTTCACCATGTTGGCCAGGCTGGTCTCAAACTCCTGACCTCATGTGATCTGCCTGCCTCGGCCTCCCAAAGTGCTGGGATTATAGGTGTGAGCCACCAGCTTGGCCCTAAATATTTTTTTTTTTATAACACAATACCAAGAATTTAGTACATATCCTAAATGCGTACACTCTTTTGTTGTTGTTGCCTTTATTGATAAAATGTTTTGGTGACATTCAGGGGGATGGAAACAGTAAATACCTTTAGATAGTAAATTGGCTCCAAACACAATGAATACAGCAGCCGTTTAAACACCCTTGAGGAACAAGCCGATTGTGTTGTAATATATCAAACATTTCAGTGTTTTAATGTGTTTATACCTTTTAAATTAACTGAAAATGCACAGCTAGCCAGTTGTCTCCTATTATGTACACTGAGCTTTAACCAGCTGCTGAAACAATTTCTGATGATTTAATGTTCTTGGAACTCCATCCTACAAGAAGGTTTGTCTTGGTAACGGTTTCCATGTGAAACCAAACTACTCTTTAAATGTTTCATTTCCTCTAACTGTAGTGCAGTATTATGGATCAATGTATAATTTGAGAGGATATAGGAATATATGCAAACCAGGAATGCTCTCACACCTGAACATCATCAGAAGTGCTATAAACGTTTCACATTTCACATTGGTAATTCCTCCTGTGCTGCATTAGCAGGTGAATAACAAGATGAAACTAATTTTAATGGCCACTGAGGGTAATTCAAAACTAGCGTAAATGTTTCTTATGAGACTTTTAAAATCATTCTGTTAATATTGAGAGCAAAGGGGTTACCATACATATGTATATGTATGCTATGTATTTATTTAGAGATCTGTAAACTAAAATGTAAATGATACCTCATTATAAAGAGAATAGGATCAGTGGCAGTAGTTGAAATAAACTCCCGGAAGTTCATTACAGTGATCTTTGTAGGAGTTCATTTGTAATGAAGATTGACTTTTAAGTAGTTATTGGCTACTGTTTCTCAGACACTTTGGATTTCTTGATAAAATATTCACGGAGGTACTAATCTTCTTTAAAATTGTTCATCTTTCAGGAATCCTTCCTTAACTCTATAGCTCTCAGCATTTATATATTTAAAATAAAGATTAAGTTCTGCATGGACTTGACATTTTTCAGTGTATTTTAGATCGATCCCACTAGAATTTAAATAAATCTGTCAAAAGCAAAACCTTGCCTTTGATTTTTATACCTTCCCTGTGTCTCAGTGAAGTAAACAGGAAATTAATAAAGATAAAGGTGTTTTCCTCAAGACACTAATATGGAGTGTTCTAACAGAAAGAATGTGGGTAGGTAAGCCAGAGGTAAAAGCCCAGCGCTTGGAATTTGTGACACTGTCTGGGTTCTCATGGTGTTACTATAAGGGCTGAATGAGACTTGTGGGAACCAACCAAGTGGTGGAGTCGGGCGGGGCCGTAGCCGCAGAAGCAGTGATGCTGTATAGACCCATCCTTGTATTTTCGGGGCTACTTGTGATGCTGTTTTGTTAATAAATGGAAGTTATTTTGAGGACTCAAATTAGATTTTTTCCCCCTTGTCTTTGTATCTGTTTTTGTTACTGTCATTTTTCAGCAAATCTGTGGCTGTTAGCTGTACATGATGACGTCAGTGTCAAGCACAGGCCCCACCCCTTCTCACTAGTGCCACCACTCTGGGCAGGTCTGCTCAGGGTAGGCGTTTTTCTATTGGCCTCAGACCCAAAATACAGCCTCTTTTCTCTGGGATCCATTTCTGTGGCCTTTCTTATGAACCTGTGACCTCATTGAGGACTGTTTAATTTTTAGCCTGGCCCTGATTTACAGATTTGTCAATTATAATTTAATCTAAGAAAACATTTTTAGTTTTTTTCGTAAGGTATAGATTGATAAAGATGAGATTTTCATAATTAATTGCTTTCACTGCCTTTTTCAGGGAGTGTGTATCTATTTGTGTACTGTGACTTGTTGGGTACAGGGGATTATCGGATGTCATCTGCTAACCCTCGCTGGTGGTCCTGCTGATGTGGAGCATGCCAGTCCATGCTGTGTCTAGGGCCTTGCCTTCTTTCCTTCTGCAGTCTGTCTGCCTTTAGATATTTGCGTGGCTCACATTCTGACCTCCTTCAGGCTTTCATCTGCTTCAAGTTTTGTTTCTTTAGAAATGGCCACCCTGACTACCCTATGGAGTACCTTTGACCACCCACCTGAAAATAGCTCCCCTCTCATTCTCTGTCCTTTTTTCATGTGTTATTTATTTA